CTCCTGCCATCAGTAGTGAATGCTATCTCAGTTCTGGAACTGTTTCATGGAAGTTCCTTTCTAGGTGTGTTCCAGGCCGTCACTATTTCTTTTCTGCTTCATCTGCTGATGACACACTCCATTTCCTTCATTGTTGCATGTCTTATCCTTTCCTGCCTTTTTAATCAGTCTAACAGGGTTTTAGAGGCAAATAAATTGATGTATACGTTCAGTCTACAATCTTGAACTGGAAATTTCTTCAACTCTTGTGTAAAACATTTAGAATGTGACTCAGGGTATTTCTCCCTCTTCCCAAGTATTACCATAATTCGAGATGATTTAAATGCCCAGATAGACCTCCCAAATGACACCAGAGCCTCTCACTCTTCTGCCAACTGCATCTCTAGTTACTTTCACTCTTTTCATCTACCTCAGCTACCCACCTCTGTATCTGCACAAGGATACAAAGCTTTGTCTGCACCTTGGACTGAAATCTGAAATAGAAACATGCTGCTTTCTGGTAACAACTTTTTTTCATTCCTGCTCTATCACTCAGTTACTACTACAACTCTTACTTTTGGCCTCATCAAGACATGTTGCTTGTTAGCCCATTTAATTTCTTCCCTCTCTTTCACCTCCTCTTAGATCTAGCCTCAGTTACACAACCCATCGCTTTGCCTGTATATACTCTCCTGTCAGAACCTTAAATTTGAACCAATCAAATTATCTTATAGAATAAGACCTTCTGGGTTCATGTCCCATCTCTACAACCCACATGATTTATGAGCACGAGTCATAAGCTGTGTGACTTTGAAGAAGTTACTTAAATTTTCTGTGCATCCGTGTCCTCATCTTTAAAGTGAGAGTAATGTTAATACTAATGTTCTGAGGATGAGATGAGACAGTTACACATAAAGTGCTTAGAAAAGAGTCAGGCTCAATAAAATATTCAATAAACATTAGTCAGTAGTAATAATACTCTCTAATTTAATAATATTAATGAAATACCAGTGTGCTTTAATATTATATTAGCATACATAAAATGCTTACACAATTTATACCATTTAATCAGTCTTTCTTGATTAAGCATTTCTAAGGAGATGTAATATTTACATTTTTAAGCTACATCAAGGCACCTAAAGAAACAGGTTATTTTTCTAATTTTTTTTCCTCTAATCCAACTTTCATTGCTCACTCTCTGCACATCCAAGGATAACCTGCCCTAATTATTATATTTAGAACAACTGACATCTAATTATAACATCCATTAAGGTAGTAGGTACCAATTACAAACTCGGAGGCATGTTGACTCATATTCTCCCTTACATAACAATTGTGGTTTTAGGAAATAGACCAGATTCAAAAAGTGATTTAAACTCTGTCAATTCTCATTGAGGCGTTATGCCACTTCTTTCAGATCTATAGTTAAGTGATAGTTATTATGAGCTTTGAAGATCTCAGGAATCATTTAGCTTGGATCTCAAAATCTTTTTAATGATGGCATTCTGCTTACTCCCTGAATTTAAACAAGTCCTTGAAGGCAGAACTTTTAACCCCAGGCAATGTATAATTATTGCTCTGATTACCAGACCCCCACCATAACAGAACTCTAACCAAATTAATATTTTGGACACTATACTTGTAGAGTGAGACTGTGTTAAGACATGTATAACAACATTTCTGAAGATGTGAAGATTGTGTATATTTTAATGATAATGATTCTACCATCATACCTTTAAAATATATCTGAACAGAAAATCAGTGAGATGTCAATTAAATTGAAAAATACTTATTACTATTGAATCAGCTTCAGGAGGTATTACAGAGAAACAATATAGTATGCTAACATTGGGTCCTATTGGAATCTTGGGCAAGTTACCTAATTTTTCTGGTCTCCATTTCCTAATCAGCAGAATGAGTTTTGGTTATGAGTTAAATGAAATAATGTATTAAAACTCTTTGTATATACCACTGAACTGGAAATATTTATTGAGTCTAAGGAATCAGATGGGCACAACATGGCTTTTTCAAGAGCAAATTCTCATTTTATAAAAATCAAGGCTTATGTTGGCACCACTCTTGCCCTCATACTCATACCCCTTACTTATCACTTGTCCTTAAATAATCTTAGTCTTAGATTGTTGGTTCAAAAATGTATGTCTCTTTTTTTATTCCCCTATCCCCAAGTAAAAAGACAGCAACCCTATTTATGCCTTCAGCATGGTCTTACCCCATTCACTCTCTATGAGTATATCACTGGATGTGTTTTCTAGGAAAACATCTAAATCAAACTCATTTTTGGCAGACACACAATGGCTATTGCTAAATAGTTCTAGAAATCTGTCTTAGCAAGCTAAAGATTTATGTTATAGTTAACTTTCCCAGTGGGCTTACCAGAATGTAGTCATAATCCAAATTAAGCCTTAGAAGGCCCATCTTTGGGAAAAGCGCAGTTGAGAGTCTACCATCCTAATTCTCGCTCTTACGTTTTTACAGGCCGAAGTCATTCTTTCCATTTTTGTTGCTTTTGAATAGATCCAGAGTGACTTCCTGAAAAAAGTCCCAGTCCTGACCAAAACTAGACCTACTCTATGGCTTACAAACATGGTATGTGGACTTCGTGACTCTCCTCCTGGGTCCATGCTGACCTAACAGCTCATCACAAGTCTCTTTCCTACTAAGCACGAACACAGCCTAAGGCTCATTCTCAGCCAGAGTTTCAGAAAGGGAAAAGAAACAAATAAGTACGAACTTGCCTGTCCTGCCTGTGCTAGAAGGTAAGCTCCCTGAAGACACAGGCTGAGGGTATGCATATGTGTTTTCCTGACAAACATGCTGATTGGATGTTGATTCACTTACAATAAGAATGGTAGTCAGCTTCCTTAATGTTTTAAAAAAATGTTAGCATAAGCATTTTCATATTCACTCCGAGAGAAGAAAAAGCCAGTAAAGATGTTGTAATATTAAAAGGATCCAAATTTTTGTGGGAGTCTCTGTTTGGATGAAAGCTAGAACACTTACACAGTATCTCAGAGGGATGGGCATGTGAAGCTCTATTAAGGCAACATGTCCCTAACCCATGGAATCACATGGAAAAACTCTTGACGTCTTTACTTCTGTAGTCAGTCTTGTTTTTTTAAAAACAGTTTAAACCAGTTTGAATTTTCCAGAAGTTGAATTTGAATCACCAACCTTCCAAGGAAAAAAATAAACAAAACTAAGTAAACATATTTCAGCCTCAAAATTTCCCCCACACACTCACAGTTTCAACTTAAATTTGTTCCACTTAAAGCACCCCAATTTCTCTATAGGACCAATGAAATGAGTCTCTTGTGGACGCCCACACTTGGCTGCAATCCTAAATGGTCCTCAGACCAGACACATGTTGGTGCATTTTTAATTGCTAAAGCAAATAGTATCCATTTTAATTACACCCTCATCGTTTATTACAGTCACTCTTCAGAACGTGATGTCTTGGAAATAACACACTAAAAAGTACTTGTGGACTCTGGGGCTTTGGCAGGCTGGGACAGAACTTCTGAGAACATGCCGTGTGAATTTTCCAAAGGAGGCAATCATTCGAGAGGACCCACACGGGAGCTATTCATTTGGAACCTAGCTGGTGGAGTTTATCTCTGATTTGAGGATCTCACAATCAATGGACATGCCTGCAAGTATGGAGCATAACATGGGTATTACTCTAAATCATTACTTCAGTTTGTAAAGAGCTGGTCCCATCAACTGCCAAAGAAGGAGGCTCATCTAGCATCCCGGTGGTTACATCTCTCTGCCAGTAAGTGCTTAATGACTCACTTTCCTCAACAGAATTTTCATGAGACTGGAATTCAGGGAGGGATGTCTGGAGAATGTCTGAAAGGAAGTTCGCAAGCCACTGTCCTGCTGTTTGCTGGAGAAAGCCTCCCATGGTAGCCAGACCAGTTGATTAAAGCAAACAGCAACAGATTTCAGTATTGTTTCCTCATTACCTTTCATGAACAAACCATGAAATGTCACCGTGAAGTTTGTTTTCATCAGGTTGAGAACATCACAAACTTCCAGAAAAGAAAATCCTTAGTGGAAAAACTAAAGGCAGAGTAGGTTAAAAATTGTGTTTCTGTGGAACCGTAGAATCTGAGTGTCTTTCACTGAAACCAGCCAGAATACTCCAAGAAATTGTTGTATGTATGTATTTTTAAAAAAATCAGTCAACCATTTTTTTCCTGATCTGTCAGGTCGACCAATTGCTTTGGAATTGTATGGATTTAGCCAAAAGGAAATTTTATTTAAGACTTACCTCTGTTTTCAAATGGTTTTTTATTTGTTGTAGAGGTTTTATAATTACTGAATGGTCTTCTCTCTCAGAATATATTCTGAGATGGAAGCAAAAATATCACTTTTGCAAAGCCATTTCCATTCTTCCAAAGGTCTGCTGGTAAATTATTCTTACTGATCTTTCCGTCTTTCTGGCCTGTGCATACACACCTAACCCATACTAAATTTCACCAGATGGCATTTTATTTCTTTAAAGTAAAGCAGTCGTGGGTTTAGACAGTTGAATTTTTAAACTTCTGTATTTACTGAAAGTGCATATGGTGCTATATGGACAAAGAAATTGTGCTGAAAGAAAAACATTTCTGTCCGCAAGTACCTCATAATCTCCCAGAGGAAGAAAAATGTGCAGTTATGCAGTGTATGTCTCACAAAATCTTATCTGGCTTTAATTTTCTTTCTCTGCTAAAAAAATAGATATAAGTATATTGTGTATACCTGGAAGTTATACTATTTAAAGTTCTCCTTTTGGATGCAAATAAAAAGGTTACACACAATGCAATCGCTTGCCCAAGTGATCCATGAGTGATTTCTAGAAGAAAATGAAACATAAACCTGAACTTGTTTAAAAAAAAAAAAAAAAACAACTAAAACCTCTGTATGTCAACGTAAGCAGAAGTTGGTGTAGAATTTACAAGGATGAGAAGGCTATAAAACCTCTCTTGAGCCACTCACAGTTCATTTCAAGGCCAAGAACGCCCCCAAAATCTGTTTCTAATTTTACAGAAATCTTTTGAAAATTGGCACAGTATTCAAAAGTCCGTGGAAAGAAAAAAACCCTTGTCCTAGCTTCAGCTTCCAACTCTGAAGAGCGACTTGCTTCTTTTCAACGGTTTTCACAGATCCGGTGACCCACGCTCTGAAGTCAGAATTAGCTAACTTTTAAAAACATCTGGAAAAATGAAGGTTAGTATATGCAGCCTCAGGTATTGCTAAAGAAGGAGGGCTGGCTGAGTTGAGTTCGATCACAGTTTTCTATTGTTTAGAAGGTGAGGATTTGTACATAAGTATGTACTTCCTGGAGTGGGTTGGGATAGGGAGATTGTTCTAAATATACTGTAGAGATATTTGTCCTTGCAGAGCTGGGAGAATTCCAGCAATTATAGCCAGATCAGTGGAAAACAATCAAAGGCTTTGTGGGGAGGGAGAAATAGGATTTAGGTGTAAACAAAATCTTGCCATTTCTACTATTTAACAGAAACTGTGTATATGTCAATTTTCTCTATTTTATGTAGACATGGTTAAAAATTGTATTTGGAGTTGCTACCTCCGCCGTGCTTGCTTTATTGGTGATGTGCATTGTCTTACGTCCTTCAAGAGGTAAGAATTTTCTCTGATTTGCTCTCCCTGCTTAGGATAGCTCCGAAAATGCACTAACGCATGGTCACAAGTGATGGACCATTTCCTAAGTGCTTATTTCCCAAAGTAAGTCTGTTATTTCTAAGAAGACATATAAGCTCACAGATATGTTCTTGAGCAACCAGAAATACTGAGGAATTTCAGGCATGAGTAGGAAGAGATTCCCAGTATTACTTCAGCAATAGAAAAACTGAAGCACTATTCCGTATCACCCCCACACCCCCCACAATATCTGCTAAATTGCAAGTTTGGACAGGCCTTTAGAGAAAATATTTTTAACATTGCTTTTCATTATTGGATTGCCTTATGGAAAGTAAAAATAAGTAAGAATAGAAAAGTCACAACAGAACCTATGGAGTTTTGTATTATGAGACTTTCCAAACATGTACGGAGGCAGTGGCAAAAACAGATCCCAGGAGTAGCTACAGAAAAGGTGAAATTGTTGCTCTAGATGCAGTAGCAATGACAGATCAGATTAGAAGACTATTATCAAGTAGGCATTATGTTTACCGATAAGTGCATCCTTTTAGAAGGTTAACATTGATCTCGATTTGCTGTAAGTTGGAGGATACTATGAACTAATATTGGTGCTAGTTTGAATTTAAATTAAGACTCTGTCCACAAATAATCCAGTGATAGTAGGGAAATAGGTTCTTAGGAAACAGTTGATGAAGAGAAGCTCAAATTCTAAAACAGGAAAAAATTATAACAAAAACAGGTCTTGTGCCTTGGGGTCTAGGGAAAGAGGGAAAGTTTGTACTAATAAATGTTAAAGGTTTATGATAGCTAAGGGGAAATATTTTTGGTTACAGACTGACGGTAAAGGAAGACCAATGATAAGCCTTTAGCTAAAAAATGATCTGTTGCTTTAAAAAATGAAATATAGAAAAATATTTTGAAAAATTCAAATGCTAGTGGGATTTTCACACAATTACAAGATGGAGAAGTTAATAAGATGCAAGCAGTGTTCTTATATCTTCGGTGTTAATCTTTAGTCCTTATTTCTGCTCTCTGCTGGTGTTCAATGACTCTTAGGCTGCTGAGATGTGTGTGTGTACATCCATATTTTTCATGGTTTTTCAAGTTAAAATTGTTTTCAGAGCAGTGTCTCACCTCAATGGTTTAGGGCCATATTTCCCTCATACCATACGAGTATCTGTCAGGTGGTAGGTTAAGTCTAATTGTATTGAATGCTAATCCGTTCAAAATTAACTCTTTGGGAAGAAATTCACCAGTACTTGAAATTAACATTTCGCTCCTCAAAAATTAATGTTCTGAGAATAAAAGTGTGTGGAAATTATTGTGAGTTTACCCCATGTCCACAGGCAAGATTGGATTGCAATGGGCACTTTGGAGTTCAAGCCATCATTTTTAATGAAAATCATACTATATTTATACATTTGTAAAAAGTATATAAGTATATAGCACATAGAAATTTGTGTAATTATGTACAATCTCAAACCTTACCTTCTTCCCAAGTGTGGACATGTATCTTATACACATAATACATGTTATAAAGTACATATAGTATAAAGTCCCTGTCATTTGTAACATAGTTTTCTGTTTCAACAAACAGGATTATTCTCAGAGCAAAGTAATTTCCTGAAAGAGTCAAATAATCAAATTAACTTCATATGAAATTTTAGTACTCATTGAGCAACAAAAAAATCACTAAAAAGCTGAGAACTGTATCTTTTCTATCGATAGTATCATTCTATCTAAGTTTGTTGAAGAACTTCTAGAATGCCACTTGAATAACTTGTATGTAGGACTATTCATCACTCCATTTCCCAAGCAGGACCAGGGTTGAAACCCTCCTTCCCACACGTCTGTGTCCAGGCAGCCCTGCTGCTAAGCGCATCCTTCTGACCTCCCTCCTGTCTTCACACCCCACTCCTTTCCCAGGTCTGGAGCTTCCCTCTCACCTCTGCCCAACACCCGGTGAGAACAGCATCTAAGGTACTAAGGCAGGAGAAGGGAAGGAGGAACAGAGAATTCAATGCCAAGTAAGCTTCCAGTTAGCCTTCTCACACTTCCTCAGAAATCCCATTACCTCACATTGGCCTTAGGTGCCCTCATATTCTTAGCCCAGGATTTCTGCACCAGCGTAAGAACAGTCGTCCTTTGACAAACCTAAGGACTCACTTAAGAAACCTCAGTTCACTTATTTATTACTGAAGTAAATCCCACCAATGACCTGCCCATCATTGTGCCAGCTGCTGGGGAAAGAAAGGTGCAGTGGTCTAGATATCCTTGTGAAAAGCAAGTTTAAAAACCCACTCTGGAGGCACGGTTATCACCACCAGAGAGGATTTCTGTCATTCCCCACCAGGTCCCGGTGAAAGAACGTGAGAGATGGGCTTTTCCACACAGGGAGAAGGTCCTAGGAAGACCAGCCTCAGTTCTAAAAGAAATGTAGAGGAATTAGGCAGGATTTTAGGAACAAATAGGAAAATATAGTGGTGAAATGAAAAAGATCCATTTAGATCATCCACATAATAATAAACATAAAGGACAACTGTTTTGGAAACTTCCAAACTTTCCCATTTTTATTTTTACCAAACAGGATGCACATATGGGTTTCTACTCCTTAGTCCCAGGCCATCCCCTTGACCCCAGTCTACCCCTATTCCACAGATGTCCTTTCTAGTCTTCTGCCTCTATTCACTTTCTCTTGTCTTCCAAAGCATTGCTCCACTTCCCCTGTGAAGATGCAACCAGGCCGAGAACAGAAACTAACCTCCACACCTTCCCCTTATTTTTGCCAACCCAAAATAAATGCACAGATCTTGTTTTAAGGGATTTCATGAGATAAACACAAACACACAAAAAATTGGCATTGGAAAGTGATAGATGATCCAGAATTTCATACGTAAATTCTATATGGCCTTCCCTCAATTTATAGTCTCTCAATTCCTGGATGGGAATTTGTGAAATTGGTGTGTGAAGGGACATGTAAAAGCACGAACAGCCTTCCCCTTGACTTCTGCTGAGTGCAGAGCTCCCCACATGATGATAAGCAAATGCTCCATAAATATTAGCTGTTATTTTTTACGATTTAACATAAAGTAGTTGCTGAAATAATGACAGCTAGAATTTTATTGTGGTCTTCATCCTAATATACATGTAACACAATGATGGCAAGTAGGCCTTCCTGTGCGATGTATTCCAATTTCAACAATGTTCTCAATTCTGAGAGTAGGGAGTTTTACCCCTGTGTATCATTCCTGCTCCTAACCCTCACCTTCTAGACTCAAAAACAAATATTTTTCAGAAATTTGTGTGCAAGGCACTCATACAGGATACTAGCAGCTCTGACGCAAAAACTGGAGAGAAAAAGGAAGTCAAAGATGGGGTAGAGGATAAACCTGAAGGAAAGAAAAAGAAGAGAGGGAATGCAGTGGGGAGCAACTGGAAGTTCTCCTGGGCAGTGCTTCTAGTACCTCTCAGTGAAAGGAGAACCACTCTTAGTACATTGTTAGTCCTCCTCACACTTCCTCAGAAATCCCATTACCTCACATTGGCCTTAGGTGCTCAGATCTCCCTGAAATCCTTTGTTTACTTTTAAACATTTTGCCTTTTACAGTTGTTTTGGGTTTGCAGTGTTTTATACAAATTCGTGTAGGTGCTAATTTTTAAAAATCAGAAGATTTCACATAAAATTCTTAGATTTTTGACTCCTCTTGAAATATTAGTTCTGGCAGCATTGGGCCCATGGTAACAGTTGAGAAGTATGTGCTATCTTTAGGTGGGCAATGCATTCTCCAGTCTGCCGCAGACCCTACAACTTTGTAATTTATTGTGCTCAAGCTTCCGCACTCATTTACAATATCTGCCTGGTTTCTAGAAACAGTTGGATTTTTAAAAAATATTTTATTTATTTATTTGAGATAGCAAGCAAGAGGTAGCACAACCAGGGGAGTGGCAGAGGGAGAGGAAAAGCAGGCTACTCGATGAGCAGGGCGCCCGGTGTGGGGCTCAAATCCCAGGACCCTGAGATCATACCTGAGCCGAAGGTAGACCAAGGTAGACCAAGGTGCCCCAAAACAGTTGGATTTTTAACCCTTGGGCTGGAAGAGGTATATGATTCCTCCAAGGATTGAAAATAACAATCTAGTCTATATGAAAAGCCTGAAATGAGCAGCCCAGAGTTATCCAATACCAACAACGTCCAATCCACAGTGGCCCCTAGACATGTCCATTATTTGTCCAGCAATTATTTGTTAAACACCTTCAAATACCTGCTACCAGTCTAGGGCATGAATGGCAAGGTCTCCATCCTTAGGAAAGAGCAGTCTGATAAAAAGCAAATAAAAAAATATATAAGATATTTCAAATTCCTTAAAGTGTTACATAGAACACCTAGAGTAAAGGTTGTGTTAGACCTCTAGGGCTGCCAGAATACGATACCACAGACCGAGTGCCTTCAACAGCTGGCATTTATTTTCTCATGGTTCTGGAGGCTGGAAGTCTAGGATCAGGATGCGGACAGGTTTTGTTTCTTTGGAGGCTTCCCTCCTTTGCTTGTAGATGGCCGCCTTCTTGCTGTGTCCTCACACGGCCTTTTCTTTAGGCACACATACTCGTGGTGCCTCTTCCTCTTCTTGTAAGGTCACCGGTTATACTGGATTAGGACTCCACTATTATGATTTCATGTAATCTTAATTATGGGCCTCCTTAAGGGCATGGTCTCCAAATACAGCCAGATTGATGGTTAGAGCTTCAGTCTTTGAATTTGGGGGACACAATTCAGTCTGTAATGAAGCTCGTCCAAGAGGCTTCTCTGAGATGATATTTCAGCTGAGACCTTAAGGACAGGGAGGACACAATCCTCAATGCAGGGATAAATCCTCAGTGCAGAGTAAAATGCAGGCACAAAGTCCCTGAAGCAGGCAAGTGAGTCCAGGGAGCCAAAAAGAGAATGGTAGCTGTGAGGTCAAGTTACATAAACAAGTTAACAC